TGTGTGTGTGTGTGTGTATGTGCTGCTTGTTCATGTGTGTGGGTGTGTGCCTTTATGTAATATCAATATTTAAATGTGAATTTGTCAATGTAGAGCAAAACGACTGCTTCTTTTGCTCCTGCTCCTGCCATTTCCATTAACTGTGTGCCATTTTTTTGTTTTCTTCCATATTTGATGTTTTAGACAAATATTGAAAATATTACAAAATATTTGCTCTAAAATGTAGCCATTTTTGCTGATTTTGACGGGGCTATAGCATTAAAGAGAACGGAACGGAAAGGAACGGAGCGCGGAAACCATTCATTGGTTTTCCCTGATTAAAACACTCCACACAATCAATTGGCTCAAAAGCTTTGCCAACTTAATTTTCCATGGGAATTAATTATTGGGGCAAACATTGTGGGCCATGCCTATGCATACATTTATTAGGATCCGCTACTCTTGCCCACAAGCCCGGGAATGTTTGTAATTTTTGGTTTGCTCCACACAAAAGCATAATTAACTTGCTTGATCTGATATATGTATGTACACACATATGTACAAATGTATGTATGTGAAACTCATATTTTTGTTTGCTTCTCATTTAATATTTATTACTTTTAATTTGCTTTTGCTTTTGCTTGGCGGGAAAATTATTTTTGCGTTCTCTGGTTTTCTGTTCGGTTTTGGTCACAATTCCATTTCGGGCTGCATTTGCATATGAGTATATCAATTAGGGGATATCATTTCGTTGTATTATAAAGCAAAAGCAATAATTAGCGATTTGGGAGTACGGTTTCAGCGGGAAGAGGTCAAGCCAAAAGGCCAGGGGGAAAACTCACAGAAAATCACAGAAAAACCAACCACAAATAAAGCCCTGGCACATCATAATCACATCTTCCCGTTAGCAGCAGCTCTAATATCAATAAAACCAAAACAAATCAGCAGCTATTATATGGGCACACATCTATGGTCTTGCGGTAATAAGTCGGTAATCTGGTAAATATGGTCCTTTGGTTTTCGTCCTTTGTTTCAAAGGTCCGCGAATTCAGACCAAGACGCCATCTATGGCTCGGTTACGTCGGCTTGTGATCTTCATGGCCATAAAGGAAAACACATTTATCTGTTATTGGCATGACTATAAACAAATAATATCACGATCCACCTCATCTCGACCCCTTCTCTGTCATTTTTCCCTTCTCCCCTCGATCTTAGTTATTCGATGCTTCGATTCAAACATCCCTCAAACAGGTATTCCATCCATTATCACTGCCCTACAGATGTGTGCCTGCATGGCATACAATTTATTAGCAGGCCACAAAAAATGTATCTTAAATTAAATAATAATCAATTAAAATGAATAAAAAACAGCTCTAAATTATAAATGCAAGCGTGAGCGACGAAAAAATAACAAAAGCCCAGAGGCATTGGGCATACTCGTACTCTTACATATCTATTTTATCAATTGAATGTTGAACGTCCATTGGCGTTCGTTGCGTCCGTTGGCATATGGCGTTCTATCGGCAATTCAACAAAAACTGATTCAGACCCATCAAGTATGCGTGACAATCCATTAAGTGATATACACACACATACATGCATATGTGTATGTACATACATACCACTGTGTAGCATTTTAAATCGATGTGATAGAAATAGAGCAGGTGGAACCCAATTCGGGTCTGGCTAATTGTTTGAATGTGTTGAATGTAATGCAGCATAAAGCAAAAATAAACAGGCTGTGCGGGGAACAGGCTATGGATAGAGATATAGCAGATGCACATATACATACATATATATATATATATTTATCCACGTAACAGCCTGCGGGGCGATTCCTATTTAATTTGCACGGGGGTTTCCCCCAAATCGAAAAACAAGAACGGAATCCAATAAACAATCAATGCTGCAGGGGAAAAAGCATGGGGAATGGCCATGGAAATGCTACTCAATCAGCTCCAGCTACAGTCCCCTGATCCCACTCTGCCTCTCGCCCCTCCTCGCTCTTTCTCTCTCTCTCTCTCAGGCCAATCAATAAAAGTAACACCCCATAATTTAATGCCCCAAATGTGTTGCGACTACATTTTGCGGTTTTTGGCATGGTGCGGCAAGGCTCGAACCGGTCCGGCTGTACTCCATCCCACCCCAAAAAAACACAAAAGCCACCGCCATTGCCATCGACATCGCCATCGCCATCGACATCGCCACCGCCGGCGGCCCAAATGCACTCTAATAATAAATCGCAAAAATAACAATTTTATAGCCAGCGCTTGCGGTTTTCCCGTATACTACCTGGACCAGAAAAGAACTTCTCCATATAGAGAGGGATAGCCTCTACCTCTGCCCTGCCACTTCACACACACAGACACACACACACCTGTCCGTTGTCCGGGTAGTGTTGCCACTCGATAGTCACACTTTATGGCCAGCTGATAAGCATATTATTATTATTGCTACTATTACACACCCACCGCACACATCGCACACACACCCATTCCCATTCGCATTCACATTCTCATTCTCATATATATGTACACAGTCATTCCGAGCCCGACTTTGGCTTGAATTATTTCCGTATATGCGAGTATAGGTACGTACGAGTGCGAGTGAATATGTGTGTACACTTATTGTTGTATGCCCCACGCAGTTGGCGGCGAATGTGTCGAAACGAAATTTATTACAACGAAGTCGTGCAGCTGTAACCAGCAGCGCCCCAGCCTCCCAAAGATGGTGCCGTGACGTGAGTGATGCGTGAGGGAAACCATGGGATGATGGCTATAGGCAATGGTAAAGAATAATATCCAATCTACAAGTGAAATGGACTCTCTCTCTCTCTCTCTCTGCAGCTTAAAGATCTTTCCCAGCAATAGTACTTGGTTATGTAGTAAAAAAGGAAGGAAAAACTTCTGTGTGGCAGCACGCTGCCATCTCTAGATTCGAGCGCTTCCAGCCATCTGTTAACTAATTCACATGCCATGGCAGGAATGGCCAATGATTACATTTCATGTGCCATATGAATTGCACTGCCCTCGAAACACACTCTCGTATGTTCATATCCGAATACATACGCACCCACAGATACGATATGTATGCACATGTATGTGCACACACACACACACATATACTCGTACACTTTTATGTGTGTTTGGCTGTCGGTTGTTTGAAGCATTTTAGTTGTTTCTATGTGAAAATCAGAATCCCCCAGCAATTCCCCAGCCAGCTGAAAAATGCTATTGAGATTTCTGTTGACAGTTTGGACTGCAAAATTTAATGAACGTTCACTTTGGTTGATCCACCCTTTAGAGAGCAGCCGGCAGTAGGCCGGGCAGTAGGGGCATGAAAATGTTAAATTCATGCATTTGAAATGTGGCTAAAAGTTGATTTGTACATTTTGAATATTCAAATGGAATAAACAATGCTTTTGAGGCCATTTAAATTCATGTAAAAGTGCTTTATTTCTGTTGAATATCAGAAGCCCCAAAAAGTAGGCAACACTCTTTCGATGCTCATTCTACTTTCACTTCCTTGACGGAGGCGGATACCCACTCACATGCTTAAAGGCCACTTTGCTTTTATATGCCACAACCAGCGAAATGTGACAATAAAAATCTCATAAAAGTGTATTACTTAGCTAGCAAGACCCTCCCCCCCCCCAACAGCACACAAAGCGAGCACGAACGATACCCTCAGGAGGTGGAACGGAACTCAAAATGGCTCCAGCAAACACCCAACCCCCAATCCCCAACCAGCAAACCCCAGCCCCCATCTGTTCCCCACGATCTGCGCTCAGTCGGACGACAACTTTTGCTTGGTGGCAGCAGCAACAGCAGCAGCTGCAACAACTTTTACACTCTTTCTTTGCGCCGTCTGCCCCTCCGTCCGTTCTGTCGTCTGCCACTCGATGCGGCACGGCACACATCAAAAGTCTTTGGGGCTCCGCTTGCTCTGTTCTCCGTCCCGGCGCGTCCCTCTCTCTCTTCGGCCTGCATCGGACAAGTTTGAAAAGCTGTCGCAGTGGCTAGAATCGACGCAGGTGTTATCATCGATACCGTTGACAATTGTTTCCTTTATATTGACTAGCACTTCAGGCACTCCAGCCACGCGTCTGCCAGCCCCTCGCCTCATCACTCACCATGTCGCTGCGTGCCACAAAACGTAGCGACTTTTGCCAATTGAAACGCCGAGTAGAAGTTGCCTCCTCTGCTCTTCTCTTCTCTCCTTCTCTCCACCACTTTTCGGTGGCGTTGTTTTTCGTCGTTGCCTTTTTTAATTTGTCACTTGAATCAAAAGTTGCCAAAGTTGTCCCTGGCTGACGGGCCTGGAGTCTCGTTCTGGCTCCCGCTCCGGCTCTGGCTCCGGCTCTGACTGTGGCCCGGTCTTGTTCTCGGTCTCGGTTTGGGGCTAGAAGCGGAGTCTGGGACTGTTAGCTTGGTTCGTTGCTTCTTTGTTGCCTTTTGACAACTTTAATTAAAGCCGAGTGCGAGAGTTGCGACATTAGGCAGCTGGAGGAGCTTTAACTTTGTATTTATTTCAAATGTTCTGTAAAGTTTGACTTGGTGCGGGGGCAGAAGCGTTTTAGAAGCGACTGGGGGCTACCCTGCACCCTGTACCCCGCTCTAAAACATTGATTCTCCACATTTACCAATCCCAATGCTTGATATGCCCCCACCCAACTACAGGGTATCCAGATTGATGCAAAAAAAAACAAAAAGAAGAAGATAAATCCCTCTGCCAGCCACACATTGTAAATTAACCTAAATCACATGTAAGCCGCTTGTCATACAACGTTCTTAGAGCATATTAAAAAACGTCGAGCAGGACGAGGGACTGTACTGTACTCGGTAACAGTTTATATAAGTATCTGTGTACGTGTATCTGTATGTGTATGGGTGTATGGGTTTGTGCATATTATAATCTCTTGTCCCTCCCATCGGCCATCACCCATCACCTATTCTCTCTCGTACTCATACTCATACTCACACTCATACTGACTCTATTTTTTGCCTTCTTTTACTCTGCAGATGATGTGCTATTCTCGCGTCGCGGCCGCATGGGACGCATTGTGAGTCCGCGTCACACGCTTCCGCCGAACACAACGTGCACGTACCACTTTCACGGATATCCTGGTGACCTGATTTGGTTATCGTTCACCAGCTACAATCTGCAGATCCTGCAGCAGGCGATACACGACAACAATACGCTGGGACGGGTAAGTCGACGACAGGGGCGGGTGGGGCTGAGGCTGGGGCTGGCGCTGGACGGGTGCTGGTGCTGGGGCGTTCGGGTACAACATTTAACAGAATGGGTGTCGTCGGGAGTGGGGTTATAGTTAACCGTTTACATAAATGCATAAAATTGATGCCCAGAAGGGAGGTGGTGCAGGGTGGGGCCACAGTTTGCTGCATGCATTGTCTCTTAAATGGATTGCGTCTACGCCAGCGGCGACTCCTCCATACGCCGCCCATTGTCTTCTCAGTTGCTCTCCGTCCGCCTCCGCCTATCCCTCTCTATTGTATGTGTGCCATTAGTGCCAGTCGGTCGACACTTTGTCTCTGCTGGCTAATTAAAAATGCAGCCATGGAAAATCTCTGCATTAAATTTATAATTAAGTGAATGCTTAAGCAACTCTATCACATGGGAGCTAGCCGGCCGCCTAGCATTCTGCATTCTACGTTTTCATTCTCCAGTCTGAAGCCTTCTGCCCCGCAGGCCAAAGAAACTGCGTCAAAATGCGGCACGGGACAACAACGATGGCCATCATAATGTCCTTACGCGCGCTCTCTCTTTCTCGCTATATACGAGCGTCTATATATCTCTGGCCCCCTCTCTGTCTCCATCGCCGTCTCTTTCCCTGCCTCATCATCGTCCTCATCATGGCGTGTGCATTTTAAATGTTCGTTGTTCGTTATTCGTTATTCGTTGTCGCCTGCCTAACGGCCTGTGAATTGTGTCAAGGTAGAAAGTTGAGTTTGCACGGACGGGCTGGGCTGTGATAGCGCGTAATGTCGGGTCAGTGAGTGTTTCAAAGGCTGCATCCCCATGGCGGTCGCCAGACCCCAGGCCCCAGATAACTCTGAACTGAATGGTCATTTAGGCTACACCGCCGTCACGAGAAAGTGCATTTAAGTTGGAGGCTCATAAGGAGCAGCATTTAGTTGGGCCAGGCTTTAAGAGGCTTTCAATGTTACCTTTTATAATACGAATACCTAAAACAAGCACATGCCTTTTTTCTACATTCATATTAGTTTTTAGAACTCAGTTTTAGCTGCTTCATTTGGATGATTCAACAATCAATCGATATATCGACTACTGTGATGAATATCCTCTTTAGTTTCAATCGACTATCCTACTCTGTTGATTTGCACCTCGAAGCTGATCTTAAAACACCATATCTGGTGTTTCTTATGTGCTTCTAAACTTTACACTTCTCCCCTGCGAACCATTGACATTGTGATATCCTCTAGTTTTCCATTTCAAGCCTTCGAAGTGCTTCACCAGGCGTTTCTCACCGACTTTAAATTACCAAATTAGTAGCTCTCCGAGTCCAAAGTTTCGTCAAGTTCTGGACTCTCCTTGTCTCCTGCTGTAATTCCCCCTTGAACAGATTCCAAAACTCTAGTCAATGTGGGGGGAGATCAGAAACCGCGATGCGGAGTGGATGGAAGCCGGAACAACATGTCAACGCTTTGCGTGGTCTCATAAATGTCGTCGCATTATAAGTATTTCCCCCCCCCGTTCCCCACCGCCCCCATTGCTGTGGATCCACACAGCAATCATTCTGCTTCCGCTAACGTTGCCGCTCCACTCCCTTATTGTTTTTTGTTTGCGAGTTTTAACTTTTCTTCTTAATTTAAAAAGTTTGCTTTTCCTCGGTTTTTCATTTTTTCGTGTGTGCGTTTGTGTTTTTTTGTCCGTACTTTTGATGCCCTTTTGGAGGGTATTACGATTGCCACTGGATGTTTGTGGCACGGAGAACCGTTTTCGTTTTGTTATAAATCGGAGTCCAGAAGATCGGGCCACTATATCGTATAGCTGTAGTGGAATCTGCAATCGATGGATCTTTTATAAAGATACCCTTTCCTTTTTTTGATTCCTGTTCGAAAATTCGCATTCACTTGTTTGGGAGTCTGTTGTTGCCCTCGATACTGGTATATATCGCACCCGCTTACTGCCTCCATCGCAATGGCACGCCCACGTTCCACGGACCTCAGCACTCTGCCTCCTGCCGCCTGCCTCCTGCCGCCTGCCTACTGCCTCCTGCATTATTTGCCCATACCGCCGTTTGTTGTACCTGATGCTGGTTGTTGTTTTTGTCACTTTTTGTTGCTGTTACAAAATTCATGAACTGTTTTTGCAGCTCTTCAGGCCCCCGCCTCCGCCCCCGCTCTCCCTGCTTTTAGTGCCTCCCTGCCTCCCGCTTCTGTACCACCCACTGGATCCTACCTCTGCTTACCGCCACCCACACTCCCGACAGCCCCTCTGGTTCGCCCGTTTTGTGTTTTATTTTACACATATTTTTGTTCTGTCACTTTTTATTGTACTCCCACGTTTGTGGATGTTAAAGAGGGAGCCGGGGAGAAAGGGAGTCGCAGAGAGATGGAGAAAGTTGGAGAGAAAGAGCGAGAGACATAGGAGGTCCTGTTTGGGGAGTGATAGCGACAGTAGGTGCCTCTGTAAAGTTGTTTTTCTGTATTTTCCACCATTGCTTTTCATTTTTCTTTTTGTTTTTCGTTTTTTGTTTATTTGTGTGCTGCTGGCAGCTTTTCATTTTTCGCAGTTTAAAGTGTAGGTGAGACGACTGCAATTGACACGGACAGTGAGCATCCGGGGGTACGAGTGGGTGTGGCAGTACAAAAAAACGGAGCAAACAATTGTGTTGGGGGGGGGGGCTGCCTTACACTCTCTCTCTTCCTCCCTCTCTGACCCTCTTGACGGCTCTTCTCAATGGGGGTTACCATATTAATTGGAACAGAAATTCCACAAGCGCTTTTCGGTGCAAGATATGCTGAAACCGAAAATATATGAGATGCCTCTGCTTTATTTCGGATAAACTCTCATGTACTCTGGCACTCGAATGTGCGGCTAGACAGCGAACGACCTTGAGAGAATGAAAAGCTGTTGCCCATTTATCTGATTAGACGACAGGTGTTTCCAGACAGAAGTTTCCAAGCAGCGGCGGAAGGGGTGTTGGAAGAATGTGGCAAGGTAATCAAGGTGCCGCATGTGTGGCATGCAGCTATGCACGTACATCTCTATGTGTACGCGTGTGTGTGGAATTTATTAGTGTGCTTCTGTCTGCATGTGTGAAATATATTTTATTCAAGTTGAGACTGGAGAATGCGAGAGTCGGCAAATATGCCAAACATTGCAGATGTTTTCGAGATCCCTCCGTTGATCTTCCCTTCCGCGGCAGGTGTTCCTTAAAGCACTTCATATCTGTACCAAAAGCTCCAAGAAACGTACATCTTTAGGCATTTAACGGGGCCAATATATAGAAGAAAAGCAACGCAGTTTAATTACAAGATCATTTCGCCAAACAACTTAAATGGCTGTCAGTTAGTTAGTTTCTTGTCCAACTTGGAGCCAACAACTGGGCCGGAGTCCGGGGCTTAGAGGCCGGAGTCCGGGAGTCTGTTACGCCAGTCAAGCCAAGCCACAGCTGTTTGCAACTGTCTTTTCCATTATTAACACAGTCAACAATAATCAGGGCCTAGGCGGAATGGAATGGAATGTCGGAATGTGCTGGAGTTCGGGAGTGCGGTAGTGGCGGGGGAAAAACATAAACCTTGTCAGCAGCCAAGGAGGCGTCTAGTGAAAATATTTAATGCCTGCAAACAACAGCAGTAGCAGCAGCAGCAAGGAGGCTATAAAGAATCTGGAGAACACAACTACCAGAGGGGTTCTGAGAGTAGTATGCGGAGAGTAAGAGGGAGAGAGAGAGGGGTGAGAGAGTGAGAGAGGGGACAGTGACAAACGACAAATAACTCACACTTGGAACTGTTTGAATATGACATGTGACAAACGAAGAGGAGACGAGCAGCAGCGACAGCGGCAGAGGCAGCGGCAGGGGCAGGGGCTGAACTAACAAAAGAAGAAACAACAAGCCAGAGAGGAAAAGCATGAAAAACGCGTGAAAAGCAGCACGGTCGGGGTGTAGGGGTGTAGGGGTGTAGGGGGAAAAACACGAGTACAAAAAATAATGTCAACAAGAGAATTAAACAATAACATGTGTTCCCTTTCTTATTTTGCTCCTATTTCCTTTCATATCTGGTGCTGGTCCCCCAGAGCGATCTGCCGCCTTGGATAACCCGCCTGCGGATGTGGGACAGCTATGGCACATATGTGCCCATGAAATCGACAAGTTCAACCACCGGACAGCCGCCACCGCCACCGCCAGTGGCCTCCTCGGCGGACGGAGGGAAGCCCACGCTATTGAACCAGAGCAACTACGGCAGCTACTACTATAGTGCCAGTAATCCGAAGCTGAATCGAAATCTGCGCGTCAATATCGACAATGCCTGGAATCCGGTGGACACGTACATCTACGGACCCACACAGTCGAGTGTGTTCAACCAGGAGAACAAGTACAGCGGCTACCAGGGTGGTGCCGGTGGTGGTCCTGCCGGTGGTGGCGCAGCCGGTGGTGGCACAGGCAAGCAGTTGACCAGCGTCAAGGACAGCCTCAACTACATTTCCGGCGGCAAGTCCTCCGTCAAAGATGGCGGCGCTGGTGCCTCTGCTGCCGCCGTCCTCAGCTCGGACAGGAACAACGCCGTCGCGCTGATGAGCACCAAGGGCAAGCGACGCCTCATGCTGGAGATCTACGACTACGAGACGCCTAAGCTGTGCGATCACACGGCCATCGGGAGTGGCGTGAGCGGCAGCAGCGCCCTGATGGGCGGCAACAAGCAGCGGCCGTGCAGTCCGCTGGAGAGCTACGTGAGCACGGGCAGAGATTTGGTAAGTCCAAAGTGCACCTGTGCCCCCGAAAAGTAGGCAATGCTTTACTCAAAAAAAGGGGGTCTCCAATGAGAAGTGTGGCATACTTTCGGAATGTAAGCCACTCCTAAGTATTAAGCTCGAATAAATTGTTCAAATTACATAGTGTCAAGCTATCGCAGCGCTATTCAATTTGGTCACCGGCACGTGACGTTTCTTGAAGAACTATAATACAAGATACTCTGAAAGAAAACAGACAACAGACAGGGCCTGCAATACGTAGCCAACTAAACAGCTCTTGTAGCTGATCGAAAAATGCTACCCCAACGTGCCTTGGCAAGCTCCTGGTCGCTGCTTGTATTGAAAAACAAGCCAAAGACTTTTCTAATTTGTCAGCTACTGCTGTTTGTTATTTCGTTGTGGCCCTCGGGAAAAAAAGAAACAGAACTTTGTGACTGCACCTGGCCCGGTCGAGTGCCGAGTGCCCAATTTGGCACGCCCAAGGGCTCTCAGCAGCAGAGCACAACATGGCACAGCAGCAGCTGGGGACTTTTTTTGGCAGTATGCAGAGCATTTCGTATTTGCTTTAAACTTGACAAAATTAATCAAATTAAACACTCGACTGCACTGCCAGACGTGCGCAAATAACGAAGAAGAGAGGCGAGGCGGGGCGAGGCGAAGCCTCGGGGCGGGCGCCAAATTCAAATTCGCCAAAGCACAAGAGCACACAAAGCCAAATACAGAGGAGGGGGTGTGTGGAAAGCACAGCAGAGTGGGGAGCGGCGAGTGGGGCTGATGCAAGAGCACTGATGGCATGCACGGACAAACAGGCAACCGCAATAAGCCTGCTTAGCCTTTTTGACGGCGCGGCGGCACTGCTCCTCGTTGCCGTCGCCGCCGCCGTTGCCGTTGACAAATATGAACTGCAAATATTTTGATGCCAAATTGAAGCCTCCCCTTGCATTGTGCATCTCTCTTTCTCACGGTTTGCCCGTCTCTTTCCCATTCTCTTTGCAGAAACTGGAGTTCCACACGCATACGGGAACAGCCTTGTTCCCGGCGCAATTCGCTTTGAACTACGAGTTTGTGGACACGGAACAGGGTGGGGACACCTGGCCAGGCAGGCGAGGCGAGGATCCAGTGCCGCCTCTATGCACCCGAATCTTTCGGAAGCGCAAAGGCAACATCCAGGTGCCCCGGAACGTCTTCCTGTATGGCCGAGGCGGGGCCAAGAACATCACCTGCCTGTACAGGTTCGAGGCGGGTCCATCGGAGCGGGTAAAGCTGGTGCTGCACAATGTATCCTTTGGCGAGGGCACCGCCTGCACCACCGACTCAGATCTGCATACGGGCCGGCCGCGCTGCAATCAATTGGATCCAGAGGGTCGCATTACGGAGCTGCGACTCTTTGATGTCCCCTTCCGAGATGTCAAAATCCAGCTGGGATGCTTCTGCGACAACTCGAGTGCCCTGTACAGCAATGCCCCGCTGACGTTCGTCTCCCACTCGCGGATTATGGAGCTCAGCTTCACGGTGACCCGACTCAACATCTCCGAGGACTTTGCCGATGTCTTTTTCTCCGCCTCGTACGAGTTCAAGCGCCAGCCGGACTGTCGCAAGCAATTGAAGCTCAAGGGCGCTGGTGGCGAGGATGAGCTCAAGTATCCGCTGAAGACGCAGGATGCCAGCTGCGAGGGCCTGGCCTGGTACATCGAGGCCCAGTCCGCCGAACGGTCCCTCTTCGTCCAGACCTGGGGCGCCTATCTACCTGTGGATCCCACATCGGAGGATGCCATGCGGTGTCACACCAAAAACCGTCTGATGATCTACTCGGGCAGGCCGCTCAAGCCCATGCGAGTGGTGTGCCCCGCCCAGAGTGGGCCGAGGCCAATGTCCTTGCACATCTTCTCCGAGGACTGGACCAACGGACAGCCTTTGTTCATGAACAAGTAAGTAGAGAAGCAAATGCCATTTCAGACCAGAGCATTTGGGTACAATTGAATAGAACAGAAGCAATAGAAAAGCAGAGAAATTCCTTCCCACATTTTAGTAGCTAAATGGAAATATATGTACCAGTATGTTCTGATTTCATCCCACTCCACCTGCCATACCAATTACCCATTCTCCGCTCCCAAAGCTGCCTAAAAAAAGGAGGAAAAACTAAGAAGGCATACAAGCCTAATGGCTCGGAGACCCGTTCCATTATCAAATGCATACCTCGTGTGAGTTAAGTCAGCTCGAGCAGCGCAGAGCCCCTCGTTTGCTCGACACAGAAAGCCTCTTAGCCTGAGTATTTTTCAGCATTTTTCGCACAAAACTAATTGCATTTTAATAGTTGCTAATATTTCAAAAAACTTTTGCACTGCTGGCACTATTGCCAGCTCCCCTCTGTACTCGTATAAGCCGCTCTCTCGCTCTCTAGCTCTCTCTCACTCTGTCTCTGTCTCATGAGCTCTATCAAAAAGTCCTGCTTAAAAATGCAATAACAGGAAATGGCTACGACGGCAACAAAATACAGGAAATTGAGCGCAAAGAAATATGCCATGAGAGAGGTAAAAAAAAGAAAACGTAAACGTAGACGAGGTCCAGGCAAACAAACATGGCCGTCAGACATGCACACACACACACACACACACACATAAATGCAAACAAGACCATGGGGCGAAGACATATGGAAGATGGGTTCCGCAGAGATGGGAGTGGGAATGGGAATGGGAATGGGAGGAGGCTGCAGGTGGCACAGGTATGAGTACACTCCGTGTGCTCCGTATGTGCCCCGGCAATTTATGTCCAAGGTGCGTGCCACCGAAATGAACCGTTGAACCGCTCCGAGAGCTCCAAGCCGGGCCTCCACTGTGCCACTCCCATCCTTTGCGAAAGAGTCAGAGGAGCAGTGTCTGCTCCGGTCAGTGTGTCTTCTTTTTAACGTGTACCCATTAAATTTTATGGTCAACACTTTTTTGTGCCTCTTTTGTCCATGTTTGCATTTTGCTCAATTTTGTCGCCACAGACCATAAAAAAGAGAGACAGAGGAGAACGAACGACTGGGCAAAAAAGGAGCAAACAGCAGGCAAGAAGGAATGTTGCATTGTGGCCGGGCATGTGAAAACATATTTTTATGGGACCCCAAAGGGTAATTGGACATTGCACTGGATATCCGGGCCGGCTAATGAGCGTGTCGAGCCATTTTAGATAATTAATTGTGAGCTTTTCAACTCGACTGTGAATTAAAATTGACATTCTGACAGAAGCGCATTAAAGTGCAGTATGAAAAGGGTTCAGTTAAATATCCGGAAAACTATTTTACATAAAAACTATAGTCAGGCAGGCTCCCTTTTTCATTTACTTTTGCGGACTACGTTTGCAGCCAAAGCGTTTCGTTTTCGTTTTAAGGTTTTGCACCAAAGCGAAAATTGTTGTTGCCCTGGCAATTGTTTATTAAGAAAGAAAAAATTAAATTACCCTGATAAGTCATCTATCTTTTTCCTTTTGCAATTAAGGATCGTTTCGTTGTATAAAAAGCCGTTTTCATTTCGTCAACGAAAATGTTTTCGTTTTGAATGTGAAATCGGGAGCCCCAATTTATGTGTATTCAAAAGTAAATCGGAAAACTTTTGTGAATGTGAAAAACAGAGCCTGGCTGATTATAATGATTTGTCTTGTACCTACATACATGGTACATATTAAGTATGCGAAAAGGCTTTCCTTTTAGGGCCCCTTTTTAAGCCCCTTGATGAAGTATCAGTTAATTTCGTTTCCTTGCCTCAATTCCATTTCGATTCCTCTCAATGCATCGCATATTGCCTCCTCTTTCCTCTTTCCGCTGAAATCGCAGTAACTTTGATGGCTAAGTCCCTTAATACCCACCCCCTTCCCCCCTACCCACCGTCCGCGACTTAAGGCAACTGAAAGATAGATATTTTGTCTATGGCACAACTGGAAAGTTGTGCGTAATTAGTTGCACTTGAGCAACTAGGCTGAGGAGATATCCGCAAAGGGAGATCTATGTACGAGTATATCCGAAGGAAAGGGGCAGGTCCGCCATTCCACGGCCAGAAACTTGCCACGAAAGTTATGTAGAGCATGGCATTCGTGGCTGGCTGTCTGGCTGGCTGGAAGAGGGGCCGGGAGGCTCTTGCCAAAATGTTTACAACTTAGCTGAATGTTTTTTCCACTCTCTCACAATCCAATTTCCACCGTCTTCTACCGTGCAGGCCCATCAGTCTGGTGCTGGAGCCCATACTAAAGGAGCCCGGCGATATAGCCTTCACATGGCTGGAGATACACCGCACCAAGAATGCGCTGCTGCAGCAGTTGGACCTGCATGTGAACGCAAGCGTGACCACGGGCCTGGGCTCCGGCTCCGGCTCTGGCTCTGGCTCTCAGCCCTCTGGCCATAGTTCAGGCTCTGGCGGAGTGGTCGGCACGGGCAGTGCTGGAGTGGCCGGGGCTGGCGGAGTAGGTGGTGGAGGAACTGCCGGCGCTGGAGGCTCAGCAAGCGGTGCTACGGCCAACGAAACCCTGAACGAATTTGGTTTCTATCCCAAGGAGTCAGATTGCGAATACAAATGTCCTGAAATTGATGCATGCATAGCAGCCAGCCTGTGGTGTGATGGTAAGTACAGATTACATATTGCGGCAGAAACAGTTCTCTCTCTCTCTCTCTCTCTCTCTCTCTCTCCCTCTGTCTCTCTTTGACTGTGAGAGGAAGCGAGGGCTGATTTATCCTTTGTGAAAAGCTATCACAAAGAAAATAGTTATACTTAAAGCGTATCTCCTCTTCATATTTATCCAAATGTAGTCATCAGAATCAACCATTTTTCGATATGGTCAATCAATCAACCAACAATCATCGTGTCCTAAAACATCCCATCTATGATGCATCCATCCAAGAAACTCTTCGAGACAACCTCGTTGCCTGGAGTTTTGCATTATTTGTACGTGATTTGGCGCTCGGTTTTCGTTTCTCATTTCCATTTCACATTTCTCATTTCACATTCCACATTCGCATTCGCAATCGTATTCTCGTGTTGCCTGCGCCTTGCAGTAGGCAGCACAAAATTTCACTTGTGGCCAGGTCCTGTCTGTTAATTTCAATGCAAGCTGTCCACGTTTTTGTAATCAGGCAAAGTTTCCCCAACAACTGCACCCCACTGTTGCTGTTCGCACTCCCAGTCCCGGTCCCAGTCCCAGTCCCAGTCAAAGTCCCACACCCAATTCGTGGTGCTGCTGGTTGTTAGTTGGTTCGTTGGTTGGTCGGTCGTTTGGTCCGTCTTCTGGTTGTTGGACAAACCCGCAGCAGTAAGACCAAACCCCAAAATGTCTTGCGCAAAAAGTTTGTCCCCAGTCCGGTCCAGTCCAGTCCCGTCCAGTCAATCCGAGCCGTGGCGAGTCGAGTCGAGTCTGGCCCCTCAGCAACCCAAATAGCCGCAACAGCTGTGCCAAACTTATTTGTGCTGCACTTGAGAGATGAAAAGTAGAAGAAAAAAAGCCGAGAGACAAAAGTGTGGAAGATACCAGTTAGTGACTAGCAAATACCCTTCAAAGAGTCGGGTAAAAATAATCTTTGTACGGAGCAAACATTGAAATATATTCAGTTAAAAAAGAGAGCTGTACAGGACGTTTTCTGAATAAAACAAGAACTGTTGAGTCTTTCTTAGCACCCTTTCCAGCACTTCCTAGCACTCTTAGTCTAGTATAAACCAGAAGAGTTTCTTAAAATCTAGCAATATCGAACACATTCAATAGCAATCCCAATATACCCACATATGCAACCTGCATTTGGTGGGGGGCAGGGGCAGGGGCAGAAAAAAAGCACAGGCTGGCCTGGACTTTGGCTTTTAGCTTCAATTATTTATGGGCAGCCAGCCGGGACTGCAGCTGGAGCTGGTTAACCGCAAAAGCCAGGGCATTAAACAAGCTTTTGGCCCCGACGGGCCACTCAAGTGACACTGCATTCAATTTGTAACCTTAGAGAAGACACCTCTTGCATCGCAAGAGCCCAACTACCACCTCCCACCACGCCCCTCCTCCCCTATCCACTTTCAGTTTTTCAATCAACCTATGAATCTGACTGCAACTCTCTGCCTCTCTGGCTCGGCTTACAGGTCATCACAACTGCCCCAGCGGCTTCGATGAATCGGAGGAGGAATGCGGCACCGCCCGTAAGCTGCTGGAGTTGCCTGGCGGCGTCTTTGCGGCCCTGGGATGCATCGCTGCCGCTCTGACCGCATGCCTAATCTTCTGCATGTTCGGGCTGATGCGAAAGCGCAAAAAGAGTGTGGTGCAGAAGGGTGGCGGCGTTGGCGGCGTTGGAGGCGTGGGCGTGGGCATTGGCTTCATGAATGGCGCCAGCAATGGGAATGTATCGGCCGCCAGCATCGGCACCCTGAAGAAGGACTTCAAGAAGGAGGCCCTGTTCATCGATCCGGCCTCCTGACACGGACTCCAGCCGGTCGAGTACATACATGTGGATCGGGAGACCACCGTGTGATATGTTGCCGCCGGCTGTGGCATGCCCTACGACGAGCACCTGGAGCTGGGAATGGAAATGGCCTGACCAAGCGATCAGCAGAGTGCCCTCGACACAGTTCAGGGTCTGGCCTGGAGATTTTAAAGCTACTGAGAATGACGATGAAGGTATATGAATGGATTGGAGGCATGAACACTATAAAAAACTAAATTGTATGTCGATAACCTTTTCTAAACGCTTCTGGGAGTAACCAATCGACTAGGAACGTGCGAGTGTATGGTGCATAGTCTTAGGGACATTCGATCAGCCGATTGATCTATTTATTTCATTTCAGTTTGTTATTCTGTCTTTATTGTTTGGGACTTCTAGTACCACAGATCTAACTGTATATAGTTTGAATATATTTTATGTATTCCGTTGGGATAGAAGTCAAGAACAGGCAGATTTCAGTGGATTTTATACGAAATTAGGGACAGTGATAGCAATTTAAGTTTATTTTCCTCTAAAGAGAATTTTTCATGGCGTGCGAGTATGTTTCATAAAGAAAACCATTCAATATAAAGACTTTTAGGTCCACTCTTAAATACATACTATACAAAACAGCTTCAAGCCTAGATCAACGTACATTTTGTTCTCGAAAAGTGATTCCCTCATCTTGACTTCACAAAATGTCTGTTAATTTGAGCTGTCTTCTTTTAATCGTCTCCATCATTTCATTGTTTGGGATTTCATGCCTCAACAAATCCGAAAAGCAGTAAAAAAAAAAACTATTGTAAATTAGGTACCTTTAATAAAGTTAGTTGGGATAGAGAGCAAATAATTCGAGGGCAGATAGTAGAGGAAGCCTTCGGCATAAGTAACATATTTACCATATATAGCACATAGCACCGATTAAAAGGAAGTTAATACATTAAGCAAATACATTTAGGAACTAAATGCAAAAAGATCAGAAACTACAATGAAATTGTATAGAAAAGAGCAACTCAAAGAGCAGATCCTTAGGCATATACTCTTTTGGGCCGCTCTGGTATTAACTTCTAAGGAACTAGGATAAAAGAACTAGCGACATTGATTGGAATGAGAATGATTGGAATGATTGGGGAAAATCTCGACAGTGTTGTGATCCAAGGCATGCACATACTGAACTATGTTTAAACACAACCAAATCGCAAGCATTTACGTGGTACTACATAGTCATGATTCGATTTGCGATACTTGAAGAGCTAGGAATTAGCTAGTATATAGTCTATGAGGAGGGTACGCACTTTTTTTTGGGTTTTTTATCGTAAAGCACACTCTCACACACAAATAGAGCAGATAACATCACTTAGTGGTTTATTAAACATACATACATACACATATACAATCGTATGGGAAATATAATTGTTATTAACGATTAAAGTAGAGCTCGAAAACCAGAGTAATGTTCACTTATTCAACTTAATCAAGAGAACTGCCACAATATTCTATAAGAAAATACAAAAACCAATTCGAATATTTATGTAAATATATTTATCGGGCGTTTATTTTCAGGATCTTACTTTCTTATTTTTTAATTGTTTTTTAAAATGTTTGTAGCTGCAATACATCATATTCCTAACTTAACAAAAATAGAATAGAATAAAATATAGAAAAAAACAAAAATGTATGCAAGCCCTAGCATTTAAGCCATGGCATGGCCCATAACCCATTTAAACAATCAAACTTTTGGCAGTTGATAGGATTAAGCAAACACCAAAAAGAAAATGCAAAAAAGCAAAAAAAAAAGACAAAAGTACTTTATTTTATAGACAGTAAAACTAGGAAAATAGAAAAAATAAATATTAAGACCTTCGGTGGTCTGCAATGAAAATTTTAAAAATGTAAGAGCCCTGCCATATGCAGACAAAATCCATTAAAATTGCAACTTCCATAAAACATATATATAATTTAGTCACCATTAAAAACCCGAAAAAGAGAAAGAAGAAAATATATACACGAATTAAATCAAATATTTTCAGTTGCATTTTTTGGTAGAAAATAACCCAAATATTTATAGCCAAAAAAAGGAAGAACAAAACAAAAAGGGACGGAACGATGTGCACTTTTTACAATTTTATGAAAAATAATGAATTATTATTTCCCAAACACAGACACAAGCAAACATACATATATGATATTTTACACACACATTTGTAGTATAAGAGACAAAATAACAATGAAATATTCGATATACATACATATACGAGTATATACTCGTACATAGAAGCAATGGCAAGAGAAAAGCCAAAAAAAAAACGTAGTTTTAAGAGCAGCGCCCAAGCTGTTACTATTTTCTTGGCCACCATCGTCGTCGTCGTCGTAGACATCATCTCAATCATCAGTTCGGGGTTCAGTTCCTTCTCTCAATCCAACCAAACTATGGTAATTTCTGTGCCAACTGTGTTTAAAGTAGAATTCGAAGATAAAATATGACAGCGCATAAAACTCTACACTACATGTAATTTATTTGAAATGTTCGAAAATAAAGTGGAGAAAATATGGAGAGAATGACGGCGGAAGAAAAGGAAAATTGTGAGAGTGTGAGATGGTAAATAATAATAAAATACAGACAGCTGTGTAAATAGTCGAAATGCGTACACACTACGCATATTTAATTAAAAAAAAGAAATAAACAAAAAAGAAAAAACTGCATACATACATAGATAAAGATACACAAAAGAAAAACACAAAAACATAGGGAAAGGGAAAGGGGAAGCGCAGAGAACTCTCTCGCAATTGCATTTCCCCTATTTTTTTTTTTTAGTAATAAATTCTCCTCAGTTTGCAGTTCGATATATAGAGTAAAGTAAGTTTCACTTGTATGATAAATATAACTAAACCAAACATTTATATAGAGATATTATACGTACATATATGAAAAGGAAAACCCTAAAATAATGACGCACTGAATCAAATAGATGAAACGAGTATTTAAAAACCATGACAATTAAAACCAAAAAGAACTTTAAACAAAAACGAAATTCAAAATACACCACCTGACTTTATTTATGGCTCTAAATTGAAGTGCGGGGTTGGTCCAAGTTCCGGTCCGGGCTCCGGGATCCGGGTTCCGAGCTTCGTGTGACGCCAGGGGGAAAACCGTAAGCCAAAACTACGGCAAACTCAAATCGTGCCACAAATAGCTGGCAGCCAAGTAGGCCACAGATTTTGATTGCCCGCATCCGGGGCAAGTGGACATCCCGTAACCTCGACATCCTGCACATCGAACAAAATGGTGTTAAAGCCAAAGCCGCTCTACGCTGGATGCTGGACGCTGGAAGCCTTTGGGCGTGGGTTCTATGCTCCGGTACGGCTCGGATTGGGGGTTGGGTTGAATAGGTTTCTCCCATAACCCGCATAAAACATAGCCACCAAGCGGCATGCTGTGTGCTCTGCACAGAGTGTATGTACTCTCCTCCTCCACCTTTTGACCTCTCTCTTTCTCGGTCTCTCGGTGCTGTGACTCTGTTTATTGCCGCTAGGTGTGTTGCTGGCCACTGGACCTGGTCGAAAAGCGTTGATAAGCGACAAAAACCCGGGACGATGTCAGCGAGGGGGAGCAAGAGAGTTGTCACGAATTTCTATTAAAAGTAGGACATTTTAACCATAAAAAGGAGAAAAGGATGGGAAAAACACTTCCAAAAACATAAGTACATCCCGGACAGTCGGAACTCCCACGATCCGGAGAAATTAATGCGCAAATAATTAAAATCCTTTTTTGCCTCGAGCTTTTTCTCGGGATTGATAGAATCCTGCCAATCGATTGGCACACGAAAAACGGACATCCATATGGCTTCCTCCCGATTCTGCAAATGGATATCCCTCACTGATCAGGGCCCATTTGGCCGAGATATAGCAGCACAATCTTTTTTCCTGTGGCAATAAGTAAAATGCTGCGTTCTTCCTGTACGCCATATGTATCTCGGCTTAACGGCGGCCGATATATTGGTAGTAATATTATAAGTGTCCTACATCTCAATGTCTGTACTTTCCTAGCAACCCTCGATGCACACACACGCATAACTCCCCCACACGTGAACACATATGGGCACATTTGTATTCCTATTTGCTCCTCGGGCCAATTGAAGTTGTTTACAATCGAGTTGGCAGCTCAGCAAAACTGCCACACGCAGGGGCAGTTTTGTTCTCCAAACAATCCCGCTTTCGACAACGAAAAACAGCAATAGGACAACAAGAAGCACTTGGCAGCAGGAAAACATGAAAGATACCAGCAGCAGAAACCAGAAGAACGAAAAAAAAACTTGAGGTAAGTAACAGTTGATGGACCTCGAACCTCGAACTATCATCAGGGCATCTCTCCAGCTCTCTGGTTAGGCAATACTCGTGGAAGTGTGATCACAGATCCCAATCGATTTGTCTAAATCATCGCTTCAATTAGCCACTGGAATTCTTCTTTATGAAAATGACTTGTCATCTGCTCGGCAATATCTTTCTTCACTCATTTCTCTTTCTTTCTTGGTGCTAATTACAGAAACTTTCAATTATTACCAACCATATACATACATACGAGTATATGGCCAGTTGCCGGTAGCATTTTTTCATTTCGTTTTATTTTTTCTATTTAAGTTTTAGTTTTATGTTGACGCTGGCACTTTTTGGTTTTTTGCCTTTGTTATCGAGAAATTTACACGAATTTTCAGCTTGTTGAAAAAATCGCAAAAAATATATAGTCTAAACAATCAGCTTTTTTGTTGCCGAACAAAAGTGTGGATCTATGCAGATAGTTGTGGGTAAATGCTTGAGTCTGGCACAGCCGACAGACGCCATTTGGTGAACAAATCAGCACAGTCTGGTGCGGAGGTATATGCTCTAAAGGTATAAGAATAATAACTTCTATTAATGTACAACTTCATCTCAATGGGCTATACAATTTTATGAATCTGGATGGTTTAAAGTTCGTTTTTAATAAAATAATAGGTCATTTGTGGCTTGCACTACTTCACAGAGCTACACCAAGTCTGTCAGCATACTTCCAGAGCCCACTGTTGCCACCAAGTGCCTCTAAGCCAATGAGGGTCAATGAGCTTTGCGGACAGAAAGTGCGAAGGCTAAGAGAACACAGCGCTTCTATAGAAATTTCAAAACTAACTCTGCGCAAAAATTATACAAAAATCCAGAATAAAAATGGCAGGCGAAAGACTGATAGAGAAGACCAAAAGAATCGAGAAGAATCTATTATTTATGCCCGACCGCCAAAAACGCTAATAGATGGAAATTACGAAACCGGGAAGGTCAGCATTCGACCACACCGGCCATTAGGGAGGAGAAGTTCAAAGGTAAACCTGTTCCTAAAGCTACTCCTCCGTGAAACTAAAATCAGCCAGAAATGTTCTTTCTGCCTACGTGGTGGAGAACTCATAGGTTTTAGGTATTTTTTGGGCAAAAGAATATTGAGGTTGGCCAACTGTTTCAACAGGTTATGCATTGTGCTCCGGAGGATATTTGTACAGTTGCCTGAAGAATTATGCTCCCTACCCTCCACTACCTAAAATAGTATGTATCTCAATATAGTATTGTTTCAACATGAACGACCTAAATAAATATGCCTAAGTAGATTAATGTCAGGGGACTGGTAATATAAAAATGTTACCACAAACAAATGGACCACAGTCACGTCCCATAATATTCAGTTCGGCTTAGGGCAAAGAGACGACTGCCACAGAGCGAAAGATCGGGCCAAGAGAGCGAACGAAAGATCTGGCCAAGAGAGCAAGTCGCAAAAGAAAATGGTAAAAGCAAACACAACAACAATGAACGGTAAAAACGTAAGCGTTAAGCGGCCGACGCTCGTGCGCCGTCGCCGTCGACTCAAAGTTGGCCAAAAAGGCGGCCAAGTGCCCCAAGGAACATTCAGTCAAGCCGCGAACGTTGCAAGCTCCAGACGTCTGTGTCTCTCGTAGCTCTCACAACACAAAGAATTTTATTTTAAATTTATATTATTTTTTTATGTTACTGTTTTATTTTATTTAATTTGTGTGATCACCAGTGATCTATCTAACGCGGGAGTGCCTGTCGATTTGCAAGTGTATTTCGTTAAATGTCTCTGGGCGCCGATCGTTCGTACAAAATGAAGCTGCGTGATGTGGAAAACGCCTTCAAATATCGCCGCATACCGTATCCGAAGCGGTAAGTGATCCAAGCGAGAGATATCTTTCTTTCCTTACACCCCAGAATAACAGAATAACAGAATGAAGTTTGTTTGAAAGGGGAAATGCACTGAGTTCCAGTTTCAATTTAATTGAAAACCGGTCATAATTGCCTATTGAATGAATCGAGTACTCCGTTGCTGGATTGGCTGGATTGCCATGGCTTGGTGGCTGAATGACTGCTTCGCACATGAAGATGAAGACTTAAAGGCGATCAGATCCGAGTTTTGCTCTCGATTAACTTTCCGTTTTCGCAGCTGCCATTTTGGTCAGCTAAAAGTGAAAGACATTTCAGGGTCAGCGGAGTTAGATACATACATACATGTACGCGAATATAATTGAAGTAAAACTTAAGTTGATCTCTGAAAAAACTGAAATTTTTTCGTGAAATTTTAAGTGCTCCCAGCACCAGCAGCAGCAGCAGCAGCACAGTAATTTCAGATATTTCTATTAATCTAGCCGGTACTGCTTTTTTATTTTTCAATTATTGCTCTACTTTAAATGCTACAATTTTTGTGGTGCTCTGCTGTTTTTTGGCTCAATTCTTCTCATAACTCATTTGGTGTAGCACCTTGGGGCCGGCACACAGAGATGAAAAGAAACCCCAAAGAAAAAGAAGGAAAACCACAAAAAACTTCAACTCAACTTCAACTATTTCAAGTAGCCAAAAGACCAGAGCCGTTTCCCCCTCTTGGCTCACATTTTTTACTGTTTGTTCTGGCCTTTTACAGAACTCAGCTAACATCGGATCGGCTTGTGGCCCGTCGCTCTGACTGGCCGCTCATTAGTTGATGGTCGACGGACGCCCCGGCAGTTTTGACCATTCAGAGGTGTTTGGGCCACAGATCTGAGCCACTGCGTCCGCTGTTGTGCAATGTTTGTGTGGCCCAAAACAGCCAAACTGTTGCAACGAGTGCGTCGAGATGTGAACTAATGATACGCTGAATATACACATGCTATGGCCTAATTGGCTTTGGGCTAAGACATTTTCAAAAAGGGTGTGAGAATTTACTTTTCATCAACTTAAACCCAAACGGAGTCGTGCTGAGGGTCTAAACGTGGGGGCATGGGAGGAAGCGTTTGTCTTCAGACGAAGTTTTGCAGCCAAATTATGAAACGAGCCTGGGAATAGTTAATTAATTCTCCCTTATCCCATGCACATGGACACATGGACATGTGGACATATGGACATTCCGCATGGGTTTTCACTCGATTATTTAAAGAACAAATTATTATAATAGTTAATGTATGAATTACTGGCATTAATTAAATGCCTGATTTATGGGCAAACATGTGCTTTGTGTACTTCATTCACGCAGTTGCATTCATTTCACGCTCATTTTGACAATTTCCGTGCAGCTGCAACTCTCAGTTGTTTTCGGTCTTTAGTCCTTTGGTCGATTTGTCGGTTGGCCAGTCGCTCAATCAGTCTGACAGGCTGGAAGCCTGGCAGTCAGTCAATCAATCAACTGATGGGTAAACATTTATTTTATGCTACAGGGCAAAGAACACTTTTTTTTATACGTACATAATTGTTGTGGTACTGCATTTTAGCGAAAAGACAATCTTTTTGTTTGTGAAACAAAATAATGCAAATATTTAAATATTGATATGTGATTTTCAAAAGGGGGGAAAAAATGGCATATTTCAAACAACACGGGTGCATGTAGTTGTAGACGTTATTTACACAACTCCTTTGTGCATTTACCAATTGATATTAATTAATTTAATTAATTGGCTCGGCTTAAATAACTGCCGGCCAGATGTTGGGCAGCTTCATTAACACTCGCCCGATACACGCGACACACGCGATAAACCGAGTTCAAAGCACTTAAAGCCCGAAAATGATTTTAAAAGTCAATAATTATTGAGCGTCAAATTGTCAGAATCCTAATATGGTTATGCCATAAGCTTTGCCTTCGCATGAATTAGCATAAATTCGATTTTCCAGTTTGTTTTCCCTATGGATTAGGGCTTACCTCATAGCCGTTTTACTCTTATTTTCATTGCAACTTGGAGCGTGACTGAAATTATTTAGAACCGAGCGACACAAAAGCGGGTCAAGAGAGAGAGAGAGAGCTCTCTCCAAGCCGGGCTTACAGCTTTCTGGCTTGCTCTTCATACTCTCTTCACCGTCTTCTTCTGTCTTTCTTTCAATCAGCCGAAGCCATGCACTCACTAACGCACACTCATACACTCACAGAAACATTCACACACTTGTAAGTGCCTCCATGCGATTTGTTGGATTTTATTTCGCACTTTGTTTGATTTTATTCGAGTTGTTGCAATGGAAAAGATGTTGTACATACATACATACATATGTATGTACGCTTTTCACGCTGCTGGCGGGCAATGGGAAAGCTAATTATTTCAGCATGAGTACGGCGGGTGGCAAATTACTAAAGAAGAAAATTTAAATGCCTGTCTCTCACCGCGAAGCAATCAACGCTTTTGTTCATCAATTTGCCACAGGTCGTGTATTTTTCAAGAATAGTGGGATTTTCGATTCCCTCAAGCCTCAAGTTCAGCCACATGTTGCAGAGCATTTTGCTTGGTCGTAAAAAGAGAGAGTCGCACTGATGTTACCCTATATTGCTCGGCGTGCAGATGCACATAGGACGGCTATCAAACGCCCTGTCGCCACGTGACCCAAAGAGCGCGAGACTGAGAGAGTGGCAACAGTGGCAAAATAAAATTTAAGTATTTATTCCTACTAAACAATATACAATATATGTGTGGAAGTACATATGGAGCAACAAAGGCAACCTTTAGCTACCTTTGGGCCCGCACCTTGCCCAGTTTTTGCTGAATTTTCACACCTAACCCGCATGATCGGGAGTGAAACTCCCTTTCCGCTCTCACCATATCTCTCCCCATACGAATATGTACCATTTCCAAATTTCGCACGCAACTTTTGGCAAGTGAAAGCCCACTAAATGTTTACATGCTTTATATGTATCTGTAGTATGTAGTACATCATAACAATTTATGACCGCAGCCGTTTAGCACCTTTTGGACCAGATGACTAACAGTTTTACCAGCCAGACCAATTTCGATTCCAATCCCCACAAACGCCCACGGCCAAACAGAGATACTCGTAGTCCGTAGTCCGTTGTCTATAACTATATGACCGTTATTAGTGGATCATAAAACAAAAACTTTGGTTATGCCTGTGTGGAGTCCAAAAACAACGCCCCCTCCCATAGCCTGGCCCAACGCGTTTGGTCCCCAACGGGCAGACATTATGTAAAACGGTCAAATGTCGACCTGGGACAAAGTACAGCGAAAAATTCGCATTATTTTTGCCATAGTATACAGTCTATAAGAAAGGCAAAAGCTGATTAACACAATCATGTGAAAAATGTGCAACACTTTTTTTGGGCTAAAAATAAAACAAGTGAAAAACTACGCTTCCACGGACACAGAGACGGCGACGGAGACGAAGACAGATGGAAATTATGTATATACATAGCTTTCACTTTGCGTACAGATATGGGCTTTGGGGCGAAATAGGCGTGTCCAGTAATGCGTAACAGCCCGACGATGATGACGTTGATGACGATGATGATGACAATGATGAATTTTTTCCTTTGGCCAGTCACAAATTTGTCGAGCCAAAAGTGCAAATTGCTCGACGGAAGGTGAAGCTGAACGGATGAAGGTGCAACTAGATCATGGAGTACGGTTCAAAGCCGTTGAAGCACCTCAAAGGTTATAGGGTAGGGAAGTACTAAATACAAATATTCAAGTTCAATGGAAAGGGCTCTTGAAATAAAAGTCATATTTTTTATCACTGTTTCTGCGACTGGGCCAATTCACACCTTCATGAAAGAAGCAGACACATTTGCCTTAGCTGCAGTCGTAAATATTTGCTGCAAACTTTACATGTCGTACACTCAAGCTGCATATTTAAACAAAAATTAGATTCTTCACTGATATTTAAACAAAAAATCGCAATATTAAACGTAACATTTCGTGCTCAAATGCCACCCAAAGTGTGTTTCGTCATAGATCTTTAAGCTTGGAAAGTAAATAGACTTCTCTACTTAGATTCGCATTAAGATTCGAGACAGTTCTTTTGTCCATTCTCATTTCCTGCTTCCCCTTTGATGTGGCTAGAAATTATCCATGCTAATTAATCTTTTGACTGTCATAATAAGCCCTCCACACAATGTATGTATTTCTGCACTTCCTAACCAAACTCCAGACTTTCATCTAACAAAATCTTTATGCAACATTGTACTCAAACAGCAGACAGAAAAAAAAAAAAAACAGAAGACACAACCTTTCCATTTTCGTTTTTCCCGAAACATTTCAAGATGTTTGTCTGCTGTTTTTCGTACTTTCTCATAAAATTTGATTGTTTTTGATCAAATATGCATGCAAAATGCTATAAATAAGAAAGAAGACGAACGAACGTACAAAAAAAAAAAATAAGTAAGTTGCGTTTGTTCGTTTGTTCGAGTACGGGTACGAGTACGAATACGGGGATAAATGTTTGCGAGTGTTTTTAAGTTTTCCAAATGCAGACGAAAGCAAATTTAAATTTAATTTCTTCTCTGCTTGTCTCTCACACATAGCGAAAGTGAGGCTACCCCGGGAGGCTCCCACTGGGTCTTCTCCTTCAGTTTGTAAATCACTTTTACAGAAAAAAAAATAAAAAAAAAAACACTGCCGGAGATTTATGGGCGCCGGCTACTTAGCCGAGCAGAATATCTGATGTCGCTGGGAGCTGATGTCGCGGAGCGTGGGACATGTCTGGGATGCCCAAAGAGCCCCCAGGTGGGTGGCAGTGCCATTAGACATTAGAAGAGTGATTCCCATTGTTGGGTGAAAGCATACCATACCTACATATCTCGTATCAATTGGTCTACAATTAGCACTGGGATCTTTGACGGATTTTTCTTTTCACTTTAGTGGGCTCTAGTGGGCTCTACTGGGCTCTACTGGGCTCTTGATGGGCCTTAGCCAAAAGTTTGC